CTCGTGAATGATAGTCACTTTACCAATTGAAAACATTATCAACACCACGCAATACAAACTTGTATTCTCTTTCGCAACGAAAACAAAAGCGAAAACAGAACATTTGAATGACGGTAAATTACTGGTTCCCCGCTAGTAGTCAAGCCCCGGCTTGTAATGATATCTGGTTTTTTTGAAAACGTTACTAATTACACTGTCTTTCGAATTCAAAGCCATCCCTGGATACCTTTAGGATTTGTGTTCAAGTATATCTTAAAATCCGGTTACGTGAATGTAAGATTAACAAGTACTCAGCATTTCCTAATCTTGCATTCACGTGGCCGGATTTTAAGGTGCACATGAATGCTAAAGAAATACAATTTGTCATAAAGTAATTTAGTATTATGCTGGTCACTGAATAAAAAAAATAGCTATTAATGTTAATTAATGTCACCTGCTGTAGCCAAACTGTAAAGGAAATTAATTAAGGACTTAACTAACTGAAGAGGGGAAGTAAAAAAAGTGAGCGATCTTAAACCACGAAGCAAACAAACTATCAGCACAGTCAGTCAAAGAAAGATGAATTTCACCACTTTTAACGGCACAATAATTACTTGTGGTTTTGCGTTTCTTCCTTTAAACCCAGAAAATATTTCTCCTGACCTTTGCGCTGTGTCCATCGTCAGTATCGCCGTTAACGCTCTCACCTGTCCTCTGATCATTTTGCTCAACATCCTGGTGATGGTGGCAGTGAAAACCAAACCACAGCTTCGTACCAAATCTAGCATAGCACTTGCCTGTTTAGCCACATCTGATCTCTTGGTGGGACTACTTGTTCAGCCATTGCATATCATACACGCAAGTTTTCTTCTCAGTGGTCAAGGAAACATATTCGGCAACCTAGACAAAGTATCAAGGACTGTTACTGGCAAATGTCTGAAGGCATCGTTTACTCATTTAATTTTGATGAATGCAGAGCGTTATGTCGCGGTTAGACACCCCTACGCGTATGAGAACCAGGTAACTGAAGCTCGTATCATCATAGCCTCTGGTCTGGCGTGGGCTATTGCCCTATTGCTTCCCACTGAAGACGTCGTCAAATCAAAAACAGATTTTGTGAGTAACTTTGTAGTTTTTATAGTCGTGCCAGTTTTGCTCTATTTTCTCATATTCACAACACTTTAATTGTGTTGTATACAAGGAAGTCCGCCGCAACGAGAAACAAATTGCCGCCAAACAACTTTTAGAAGCGAAGAAGTTACTCAAGAATAAGAAAGCTCTTTACACGACAACTGTTGTTCTACTGGCTTCTTTTCTTTGTTTATTTCAGTAAATATCTGTTTCAACATTTTAGCCTCCACTACCAACAGGAACCCTGCTAATGGAGGACAAACTGCTATTTATCTCCTTCCTTTGATACCAGGACTGAATTCGTTGTTTAATCCGTTGATTTGATAAGGTATTTTCGCGCAGCTTTCATTCAGTTATTGACGAGAAAAACTATTTCACAAGCGGAGGAACTTGAAAGGAAAATGTGTGGACCAAGACAGATTGGAGTCATAGCTGATGCTGAACAAGACCAGAATATTAGGTTAAGCCAAGAAGATGTGCGATAACGGAATGAGACATTTGACAATACGGACATGAAATTATACAGTGTGAACAAAGGTGCTAAAAGTGTATGAAGAAACATCTCTGTAACGGGACATTTGTAATGTAGGTTGCTCCTCTAAAATCTTTGGAATCGAAATTTTCGCTTCATAAAATCACCTCCGAGCGATGGCGAAAACCGTGTGATTTAGAATAACAATCACAATAGTACCTGTTGTATGGATCGACAAAGAAAATGCAGGTTAAAACTTTAAAAGAATTGTCGGTGCCAGCACAAACCTCAAATGTTTTCTGTAAATGTTTTAAAATCATAAGTTGTTTTTGAATTTCGCGGAAAATTACTTTAACTTGAACGTTTGGAAATGGTAGCTTAAGAACATTTCAAGAAAGTTTCAGGCCCAAGTTGGCAAAATATAAGAACGCTCGGCTTCATTCCGAAAATTATTCACACGTTCTAACATAAATAAAGTACAAAATAGACATCCTAACTGTAACGTGCCGTCCTGACGCTATGTTATATACATAACCTCAAAGGGCTTAGCTCTTAGGCCCCATCCACACTACGCCGGAGGAATTTGAAAACGCATCAATCACCAGTCATTGTAGATTTGTGTTTGAAGAAAACTCAGTCAAGGAAATCACATCATTATCATGACGTCATCGTTTTCCGAAAGCTTCGTTTTCTAAATGTTTCCTGTCCATCACGAAAACGAAAAAGTCGGCGTTTTCAAATTCCTTCGG